ATTGAAATAATTGGCGGGGACCCTGCTGCTAGTCGAGCCCACGCACGGGAGGTGCAAAGACTTGCCAGAATCTCTGGAGATCTGTACAGAGAGGCACGTGGACTCCAGAGTGAGGCCCTCTCTTTCATGTCACAAGGTGATTACAGGAAGTGCATTACTCTGACCAGGCGGGGTAGAACAGCTCTGAGTCTATGTGGTCTGTCTCATGGGTTAAGCAACTATCGGTTCATAGAAATTCAGGCTGAGGTCCACAAGCTTAAATCGGAATATGTTGAGGCACATGACATCCAGAATCAAATTCTCCAAGCAACAGCTGATGATAATTACCAGCAAGCATATACCCTCATAAATATTGCGGAAATTGACATCTTGACTGGGGTTCCAAAACTCCAGATACAAAAGATAATTGATGCATCACAAGCCGTTCTCAAAGTAATTCAAAGTGCATTATTTACCATTACCTGTGATGCCACTCAGGCAGATCTCAACTTGAGAGAGGGAGACATGTCAACCACATTATTTGTTAAATGCCTTAAACTTGCATGGGGGACATACTCTCAGGCAGTGGGTTACTGCTTGGAGAGACTTGCAGATATCAATCGCTGGTCGGGCTCTCATTTAACCTCATGGCCTACTGTTTTCCTTGCAAATTCCCTCAAGGCAAAAGAGAGGTTAGAACTCTACAAAGCTCTGCAGTTCCTAGGTGATGTCTTCCTCAAAGAGGCAGATGAAGTCACAGCCACATCTCTGTTCACTCTTGCCTTGCAGGGATTCACTGAGATGGATGTTCACCACAGCAGAGCAGAGTGCATGATCCATCTTGGGGATATCTCCAACAAACATGGTGATTTCCTCAAGGCACTGGAACTGTGGGAAGCAGCGAGGCCACTGTTGGAGCGGTCCTCACAGGCTAAGCGGGTCCAGCATATTGATGAAAGGCTAGCTGGAATTGGTGAGGATATCAAGGAGCAGCACCCCAGAAACTTGTCTCGGCTCACTGAGTTACATGCTCCTGTGGGAATGATGGAAGAGGTGGACAACAGTTTATCGGAGGATGAGTTGGAGAAGGAATAGGCCAGATTGGTTGTGGTTCAATCTGCAAGGGATTATTGATTGGCATCCCATTTTTTCATTATTCGGACCGTGTGATACTACTGACCTACCTACTTTCCGTTGCCTGTATTCATGTGGGGCTACTTCAGTTCAAAAAAATGTATCTATTTATTTATTTTGCCAAACATGAACACATAACCCCGCAAGGTATGTAGAAAGACTGAGTAGGTGTGCAGATGTGATAGTTAGGTCCCAGCTTATTCTAGTGTTGCCGCGACTTAGTAAAATGACTCCGACCCAAATTTAACTCAACTCAACTAGACTTAGTCAACCTCAAGTTACTTGAAGTCACTCAAGTCGACTCAAGTTGGCCAAGTCAAATCATTTGTTTTAGATTGGCTAGAATTACTGCCACATTTTACAGAACAATGTGCCCTGGACCCCGACCAGAATCATGCAAGAAACAATGCAGCAGTGTCTATTCTGTGATACACAAAGTTCCTGGGGGTATTTGACTGACAAAATGCTTTGAAATCCACCCATGTAACATGATAGAATTTTGGTGTATTTTTTCGGATTTTATGAGTACACAAAGCCTAGTCTCGGACCAAACTCTCATGACATCCCAATCTGGACCCCTGTCATGAGAGTCTGGGCGTCTGTCAGCCCGTTAGCATTACCATTGCGCTATCAGATTTTGATGTAGCCTAATTCAAGTCATCTGTTACAGAATGTCACGCAATTATCCTATCCGGCCCAGCTGGCCTGAAAAAAAGGTGCGGGGAAGGCCCGACTCCAGCGTGTCGTCGGGGTACGAGAGTCAGGAGCAACGAGCCCCGAGTCGGGACGCCACATCATAGGCCATGCAGCCTTGCGAGCCCCCGCGTACAAAGGGCTGAGCTTGATGAGGTCCTCAGCCTCAAACTTCCCGTCGATGATGAGATTCAGCACGACATCGGAAGGGATTTGAAGGTGGGGGATTTAAAGTTCTCAATCTCACCGGCAGTATTGTCTGTCTGCACTAAGATTCCCCCATTCCCATTTCCACCAGTTTGCGCAGGCGCGGCGCTGGCGAGAAGAGCGCGGAGCTGAGCATTTTCCGCGGGGGTGAGAGGAACAGTATTGTTGCCGGCCATGTGGGATGAGAAAAACTAGGGATGACGAGAATAAGCTAGCGTGGAGGACGAGAACTGAGCGGGAGACAATGGCGGTTGAGGAAGAAAATAATAACAGATGATGGCACTACTCGCGTGCATTCCCCCATGGGTAACCCATATCAAGATCGATGGAAAATGCGAATGAACTCAGTGTTAAATGTCGCGTCATGTCACACTTGTTCTGAAACAAAGACAAAACTGCTCTAATGGCACCTATCGGCCAAGGTAAACACTGCCTGAAAATGCCCGACTCCAGTCACCCAAGCATTTTCAGGGTGGCGGCTAAGAAATTACTTCTGGGTTTGCTGGTGCCGCCTGATCCGCTTGATTGAAACAAATAAAGATTTGAACTCAACTTGGCGACTCATCTCAGTGCTCTTTCTGGGGAATTGGATGATACCAAGGTACCAATTGGTGCTCTGGAGCTGATTCTCCCTATATGTTCCCAAATTTTACCGGCTCGGGAGTGTTCGTGTCTCAGTGGTTTTCTCCTGAACAGGTTGTTAACGGGGCGCATTTGGAATGCCAGCATTTTTTGTAATGCAACTTACTTCATTACTTGTGCCAAGCTAGGACCCAAATATAAAAGGTGCCTGCGCTTGGCGCCTCTAAATACACAGTTTCGCCCATGCCCAACCGAAGTTGTGCGGCCAGAACAGCCCGATCAATCATTTCTATAAAAGCTTTTTTCACCAATTATTCTTTAGGCCAGATCCAGGACCAAAGTATCCGCGGGCTGTGGTTGTGGTTATTAGGAAACACAGTAGAATTCATGCATGGTCGGTCACCTGGGGTGAACCCAAGTCTTGCTCAAGGACCGTATCGTCAATTCAGTGTCAGCCGGTTGTTCACAACTGAACTAAAAAAATGGATTTTCTATGTCGGGAACGACCCGGAATCATCGAAATCATCAGAGTTCGGCTATCCCATCATGGGACAGTCACCTATTGACAACTTGGTTTACCAAATTTAGCACTAGAGGAACCCGCAATGCGACCCTACCATAGAACCATGCACAACGATGAGCTATTTGTAGATCGAGACCACAAATCACACCAATCAAGACCACAGACCAGCATCACGAACCACATCAAACCTTCGGCAAACCACCTCAAATACTGTCTCTATATGTAGGGGAGCAACGGTCACGGTAACGGACCGCCCGTTGCGTTGCTTTCGTCACGGTAACGGTGAGCTCGGTTGCTTTAAAAAAATCGTGACATTCCCGAATAAAATCCCAAAAAATCCCCCGGCTTTGGAAACAGGTTGGAATGGCCATAAACTTGGGATTTTTGTTGAAGAAACACCAGATGAGTGCTACAACGCCTTGTATCTTTTCAATTTTGGGGTGAAAGAATGTGGTCTCGTTGCCTTCTCAAGCAACGGTCACGCTCACGGTGGCCTCCGTTGCCTGAAAAAGAGGCAACGGGTATGTCACGGTCGCTGGACCGTTGCTCCCCTACATATAGAGACAGTACAGTGACCACAACCTCAGACCTCAAACAAATCATATTTGGTGATTAAAAAGGTCATACATTTCTATGACAGATGGTTACGAGGACACCAAACATTGTAGACAGCAGGACCGGGTTCAATTCCTGGCACCCGCATGATTTCGTCCATCTGGTTTTTTTTTCTCTGCCTCCCGCACGGACAGGCTCTTCCAGTGTGCCATGAGACAGGGAAGGAACAGTGGTGGTTTATGCTTTCGTAAAAGCAGGACTGGCAGGACTTGGCCCATGATTGAGAGCTCTCATTGATCGCAAAAACAATTATTTGTTGACCGAGTGGAAAATCTGTGGTGCTTAGCCAAGGCTTGGAAGTACTTAGTTAGGAAAGTGGGTGTAGTGTATAGTAAACGGCCGTCCCCGTTGTGTAGGTCACATAATGTTTGCAGACAGCAGGACTGGGTTCGATTCCTGGCATCTACATAACAGTTTCATGTCATCTTTTTTTTTACCTCTCACACAAACCAGTTCTTTCGGTGTGTCCTGAAATGTAGTCTCTCGCAGACAGATGCTACAACAAACCTTGCTCGTACCTCGCATGTTGAAATGGTCTAGGGAAGGAGAAGTGGGTGAGTCCAATTTTCAACGTAACAGGACTGGCAGGACTTGCCCCATGATTGAGAGCTTTCATTGTTGACTGGGTCCAAAATATGTGTCACCTAACCAAGGTTGCAAGTATGCAGGAAAGTGGGTGTGGTGTATGGTACACAGCTGTCTCCTTTGAAACCGTGATGATATTTGCAGATAGTAGAACCGGGTTCGATTCCTGGCACCCATATAGGTGCCCCCGCATGTATTTATTTTACCTCCCACACAGACTGACTCGTTCGTTGGGGCTTGAAATGTGGAAGGAGAAGTGGGTTACCATGGGCTTAATTCACCATAACACTGGCAGGACTGGGCAGGAGTTCTTGATTGAGCGCCTTCAGATTGCGAAAACAATTCTTTGTTGTTGACTGGATGGAAAATATGGGGTTAGGCAAGGTTTGGAAGCAGGCAGGAAAGTGGGTGTGGTGTACAGTACACGGCCGTCCCTGGATTGGTGACAGAATGCTTGCAGACAGTGGACCCAGGTTCGATTCCTGGCACCCACTGGCACCCAAATAGTTCGGCCTGAGAGTTATTTTCCTTCTTTGCCTCCCACACGGACCTGCTCTTTTGGTGTGCATTGAAATGTGGAAGGGGAAGGGCTGTAGGGCTGGTTCCCTTATTGATCACGAAAAAAATCTTTGTTAACTAGAAAAATTGTGATGCCTAGATGAGGTTGCAAGTATGCAGGAAAGTGGGTGTAGTGTATGGTACACAGCTGTCACCATTGCAAAATGTTTGAAGAAAAATGCTTGCAGACAGCAGAACCAGGTTCGATTCCTGGCATCCGCATAGCCCATAGCGCTGGTTAAATATTTTTATTTATCTTCCCCAAAACAAGTGGTGGGCAGCATAGATGATCAACAAAAATAAAGGAGCGGACAGCGAAAATGGTGCATGTCCCTGCATCTTCACAGATGCCTACACATCGGAGACCCGCTGCTGTCGGCGCTGCCAAAAAAAACCAATCAACAATAAAGGATGAAACCGAAAAAACACATACCTCAATTAAATACCCCTCACGTCTCCCGGTACAGTGATACGGACCTTCTTGAGGCTCCTGGTGATAATCAACCCTTTTAGGCGTCCTGAGTCCCATCTGTTGTTGTGACTCGTCACGCTCACGCCCTCCCCACAACGCCCGCCATCATCGTCGTCCATCTCACTCCGCTTGCCTTCCCGTACTCTGTGGCTTGACTCGTATACTTGTGCTATCCTTGTGGTGGATTGGATTGAACTAGATACCCAATAGCCAAGATAACAACCTAGCTTAGCCTTGCCTCAAGAATGGACTCGCCCACCCCCGACTCCCGGCTGCCCCCTCCCGCCACCTCCACCTCCACCGGCGGCATCCTCGGCTCCTTCCTCGGCCGCGGCCGCCCCCGCAACTCCTCCCAGTCCCACATCGACGTCCCCGCACTCAATCGCTCGCCGTCCCCGCCATCGCACGGCTCGCCCCATCCCCACCACGGCCTGGGCGCGATGAACCCCTTCGCGGGCCTCGCTGCGCACGAGCGCGATGCTCGTGATGCCCGCGAGCGCGCGAATGCGAATGCAGCTGGCGTCGCGGCCAGTGGGCTGGGCATACCGGCGTTCAGCGGCACTTCGGGCGCGCCCTTCAACGCCGGTACCGCACAACAGCCAGGTGGGAACGGTAATGGAGGAGGAAATGGAGGTAGCAATCGCCGCCGGCCCGCACCGCCCGCCGTCGTCGTCGCGCCCTCGCCGTCCAACCAATCCTCCGGTGGGGGCCTGAATCTGAGCCACATGTTGAGGCGGCGGCGGAGCGCGGGGAATGTGGCTACGCCTGCGCCGGGCGGGGTGCCGCCGACGCCAACGCCGCCTATTACGGCGAGTCGGACGGGGCCTCCTGCTGCTTCTGGTGGGAATACGAGTGGTGGTGGAGGAGGGCAAACGCACCGCATCCGCCTGGTCCCGCATCTCGACTCGCGGCGCAGTCTGCGCTTCGACCCTATCAGCCGCGATTTGAGGCCCGTGCCGCTGGATCCGGCGTTGAGGATCGGTAAGTGCCTTTTGCTTGTTTTTCTGTCATTTTTACTGGTTTCTGCGCTTCGGGCGTTTTGGGTTTTTCTACCCTACGCCATCGTGCGTCTGCATACGGCGTGCTTTGCTTCCCCAATCCCCTCTGCTCCACTTCCCACTCCTCTTTCCTTTCACCCGCCTTCCATTTTCGCTTCGCCTCCATAAACAACTCATACTGAATATACTTTTAGGTCGATTCACAGACAGAAGCGGCCTCGGCCTCGCCGCCGTCAACGCCCTGAACGGCTCCAAGATTGCCTTCAAGAGCAAGGTCGTCAGCAGGGCCCATGCCGAGGTGTGGTGTGAGGAGGGTGAGTGCGCATGATTTCTTTCTTTCTTTGCCTTGGTGGTTTTTTTTTTTGTGTTGGCGGTTGCGGCTTTGTTTCGCCGGTGCGATACAGCTGATTTCATCTGCTCGCCCGCTTACGGCGGAGGGCAATGCGCGCGTAGCCCTTCTTCGCGGATGGCGCCTTGCGTCTTTTCCATGTCTTTCTTTGGGCGGGCGCTCGCGGGCGGCGCGTCTGCGATCCATCCTTCCGTGCGCCGTTTGTGGGCGGCACCACCACTCCGCGGCTTTGCTCCCTTCTTTCTTTCTTTTTTGGACGCGCACTCGCCGACGTGCCTGCTTTCCTGTCTGCGCACGCCGACTCTGCGGTTCGCGTGCTTTTTTTTGAACGGGCGGGCTCGTCTCGTCTCGTCTCGTAGCCCTGCCCTGCCCTTGCTTTCATTTCCCGCCCTGCGCTCCTTTCTTTTTTTTGGCGGGCCGCTCAGTATTTATCTCCATGGACGCACTGTATTTATCTCCATGGGCGCGCATAATACTGGAATACGCGGTGCTTGGCTTTTTCATCTGGCGGGGCGTGCTTGCTTGCGCTCTCTGGCTCGCGCGTTGGGGTTTTTATCTCATTTCCGACGTGGCGGGATTGCTTGCGTTTTTGTATTTCCTTGGGCGGTGCACCAGCGCCCGCTGATTGATCACCCTCGCGGGGCCGGTTTCGGTTTTGGCGGTGCATGCAGTTGTGCGTGGGGCGCCCCTGATGCGATGGTCTTTTTACTTCCCGGCCTGCCCGCTTGGCGTTTTCCTTCATGTGGGCACAGAGATTGCGGCGGCTCTGTCCTTACTTTTGCGCGCTCTCCGTCATGTTGGCGTTTGCGCGCGCGTTTGTTTGCGGTGGTCGTCCTCGTGCGCCCTGTTTTGTTTCTCGGCGCGGCCCGCTGCTGCTGCTTTTTCTTCTTTCTTTCTTTCTCTCGGCGGGCTGGCGGCGCGTCTTTTCCGCGATCTGCTCGCTCGTCCTTTTCTTTACACCCCCATTTTGCTCCCGTCGTTTCCTTTCCTCGCTACTACTAACTACAGCTCACTGACATTTTTTTTTCCCTCTCAATCAGGCACGAACGGCACCCCGCCCAAGTTCTTCATCCGCGACACCAAGAGCAGCAGCGGCACGTTCTTGAACCATGTTAGGCTGAGTCCTGCGGGCACGGAGAGGTGCGTTTGCTCTCCCTTTTCTTACCCTTCTTCTCTTCACCCCATCACCCCACCTCCTTTCCCTGCTTGCTCCCCTTCCCACACATCCTACCCTATACTCCTCCTTTCGCTCGCTACCCCTTCCATTTTACTGTGCTACTCGCTGACGCTCGCGCAGCCGGCCCCACCCCCTCAAAGACGGTGACATCCTCCAGCTCGGCGTCGACTACCAGGGCGGCGCGGAAGATATATACAAGTCGGTCAAGATTAGGGTGGAGTTGGGGCGGGAGTGGCAGGGGCGGGTTAATGGGTTTAAGTGAGTGGTAGTTTTATTCTTTACTGGTTTTCCAGCGTTAGGAGCACGGGCTCGTGCCGTGGTGGATGGCGAGCGGACGTCGGCGTCGGCGTCCGTGTCCGTGGTGAATGTGGACGGGACGGGACGCGGACGAGCCCTGTGTGGGGCGCCGCTTTCGTTCTGGGACGCGCGTCCAGGCGGTTGGCGGGGACGTGGGGGTCGAGGCTGTTTTCATTCGGGGGTTGCGTCGAAGGGAAGGGGGACGCGGAACGTGTGCGGAGATGTGCGCGGTTACGTCCTGGAGACCGTAGTGTGGACGAGGATGGGGACGACGAGTTTGTGCGCGCGCGTCTGCGGGTCGTAAACGGCGGATGCGCGTTCTATGCTGTCAGTTCCACTGGCGGATGACGGTGGCTCTCGCGCTCGTGCAGACTTACGACGCGGCGTGCGGGCGCAAATGAGGACGCGGACTCGACATCGCCTATCGCGGACTACGGAGGCGTTTGTAGCGTGTCTTAATGTCGTCCGGAGGGCGTTTTCGACTCGGGCGCGACGTTCCTGTTTGCCAGCCTCGCCCCTTGCTTTCCTTCTCATCTACATCCCAAAACAAAATCACCATACTGACCTCCCTCTCTTCCTCCCTCACAGCACGACAGCCCTCAACAACCTCAAGTCCCTCGCCCTCGGGCCCACGCTCGTCCCGCCCGGCAATGCGTCGTCGGCGTCGGCGTCTGCGGCGCCGGGGACGGCGAAGCGGAAGAAGGACACGGGGGGCATTCCGGATTGTTGTATCTGTGAGTGGTTCTTTCGTCCTGAGGCGGGGGGTTTCGTGGTTTGTGGGGGGGGGGGGGGAGTTTTTTGTGTCGCAGAGGGAGTGCTGCGTTCCTTTTTTTTTTCTTGGAGAGCGTGCACTTTCGCGGACTGGCGGCGAGCGAGCGGCTTGGGGGGCGACGGTCTGGAGCCTGCAGTCGTTTCCTTCTTTCGCACCCGGATGAGGCCGGCGTGCGGGTGGATCTTGCTTGCGCGCTCGCTTTAGCGCGCGCACATCGGGGTTCGTGCTGGGGCTCGCGATTGTGCGGACGAGGCCGCTTGCTCGCGCTATATTTTTGACTCAGGCGCGCGCGTGTACTTTGGAGCCCGCGCAGGCGTACATACAGCGCGCTAGCACTCGGGATCGCCTGGACGGTGCTACGGCTCCTGGCGCGCGGTGGCCACCCGCTGTAACCTCCACCTACGCACTCCGCGTTTCTGGCACTCATTGTCGTTCGCATGATCATTTTACTTCACTTTACTGTCCTTCGTTATCCGTCTACGCATTTCCCTCCCATCTTTTATTCGATTATTGATTGACGCTAACGTCCGTACAGGCCTCTTCCCCGTCTCCATCCGCCAGGCGCTCTTCATCGCGCCCTGCAGCCACGCGTTCCACTACAAGTGTCTCCGCCCGCTGTTGGAGACGCATCATCCCGCGTTTAGGTGTGTTGTCCTCCCTGTTCCAATGTTATTTCTTGCTCTTCGATTGTTATTCTCTGGGGGATGGGCGAAATTTCGCGGCGATGGATGGGGGCTTGAGGGGAAGGCGGGGTGAAAGAACGGTGCGCAGGAGGGCGCAGGGGCGCCATGATGACGACATGATAACTCCCCGCGTCCCCCGCCTTCTTGGGGGCGGGATATGCGCGTGCGGATGCGCGTCGTCTCACCCGGGGGAGTGCGCGGCGTAGCCGGAAGCTCGGACGGGGTGTCCTGGCTCGTTCGTCCGCGGTGCTGGTGTGCGGCGTCGAGACTGATTCTGGGCGCGTGGGGTGGTCTACGGCTTCAGATCGTGTGCTTCGTCGTGGTGCTCGGGAGCGGGCTTCGTTGGAGGACGCCGTCCAGGACGTCGAGGGCGATCGCGAGGAGGGCAAGACACTGTAACGGCGGTACATCACGCTATCGTCCTGCCGCTGCTAGCGCATAACGGGTGTCGTGCGTGCCCCTCGTCTTGCCCCG